AAAAAAAAAAAAAAAAAAAAAAGGTCCTCCTTTTTAGATGGTTACATTGTTAATTCCTGTAAGAGAAAAAAGAGATCATCAGAGGTACAGGCAAACTGAGAGAATTCAGGTCACTAAAACTTAAGGCAAATCAAGATAGGCTCTGGAATGAGGTTTTCTAATTGGCTGATAATAAGCATAGAAAATAAAGTCACCTATAACTGGTTAGATCACAGGGAGAGTCAGGAATAGATCTGGACACTTACCATAATAGCATTTACAATATCATTACTGTTGTTCTTCAGTGCTCGCACTGCCTTTGCCCTTGACACATTTGCTTGTGACATGACCAATTCTATGTCCTTAACTTCCACACCTGTTTCATCAACCTAAGAGAAAGGGAAAAATACATACAAGAACAACCTTAGTATAGTTTATTGAAGTCAGGAGTCTCTTGAATCTAATTCTTAATTTAACTCAAAAACTATTTCACTCAATGGGATTCAAGAAGCTAAAACAATATAGAACCCACCCATCAATACACACATAATACTATCTGGATATAAAAGTATTAAAAGATTTCCTTGTATACCTCTTCCTCTTCACTTTCCTCTTGTACTGTTGGAGTCTGTGTGTTTTCTTGAATGTTTGAGACAGCTTCACCTTGAACTTTGAATTTCTCAGCAGCTGCTAGCTGTGCTTGCTGAGATAAATCCTCGATCTGTAGAGCAGAAAACAGGGATTCATGTGAGTAGATCTGTCTGTAGTAAGTGAAATAAATCATTTACACATTTTCCAAACTTTCACCTTAAGTTCACTTTAGGTTAACTTACTATATAGCTTTAAATTGTTTGCCCTTACTCAGATTATATATCACCATAGAAGCAGCTTAGATTTAAAGCAGTGATTTTCAACTGGAGGGTGACTTTCTTTCCCAGGGGACATCTGTCAAATATATGGAGTTTTATTGTTTGTTTGTTTTGTTATCACAACTGGATGTGATGCTGCTTAACATCTATAATGCACATGGCACCCCTTCCACAACAAAGAATTACTGACCCAAAACGTCAATGGTGCTGAGTTTGAGAAACCCTGGTTTAGAGCAACTCCCATGAAAACTTTCCTTACCTTGGCTTCCCCAAAAACTATGTAGGTATCTGAAGCTGGGCTCTTGTAGACATCTGGTTTTGTGATGACAAAGAGGATATTCTTAGATTTCCGGATAGTGACCCTAGTAACCCCTGTGACCTGTCGAAGACCCAGTTTGGACATGGCCTAAGGAACAGAAAAGAACATTGGGTTTTCAACTTTTTGAGAAGCAGCTTCAGGAAGTAAGAACCATAACACCACCACATCCAAAACAAAGCCTTTTTCTGGGGCTAAGAAAAGTTTATATAAGAATACAGAATTGATTTCTAGGACTTCTGGGTTTTGTGCCATAACTTCTGTTAACTAAACATGATTCTACCACCACCACCAAGAGTTCCAGTACAGTTTCTCCCCTTGCTTCATCAGAAACTTTAACCCTTGTTTATAACTTAAAATACTACCTTCCGTGCCTTCTTTTCACTCCGGCTCTGTTTTGCTTTACTGACTGGTTCTTCATCGATTTCAGCTGCTGCCGCCAGCTAAAACAAAACAGTAAGCTGAAACATAAGACTTGGATTCTACAATCCTCCTGTGGTTTTCCCTTTATAAAGGTTTACAAGCTCCAAATATGTAAGTCATCTTCTTTGGTCAACCCTGGTTCTGCAATGCTTCCTTGATCTAAGTATTTATACCAATAAGTAACAGAATACTCACCTGGGCTTGTTGTGTGGTTGCCTGTGTGGAATCTTGTTCCTCAAGCTCTGGTACTGATTCATCACTGTCAGATTCTGTTCCAGAGCCTAGAAGGAAAAGTAGTTTTTACTATTTTATAGTAATTATTAAAAGGAGGCACATCTCCATGGCCTGCCTGGACTAGAGGTCACTGGCTTATGCTAAACCTTAGAAAGTTAAATGTTAATCAACTGACTTGTGTAAAGTCAGCTTGACAGCCCCCAATTCGTCACAAACTAGTGTATATACATCCATTAAAGACCCAGCCCCAGCCCCAGAAATGAGAGGTAATTACTAGATCCAGCTGAAAAGTTTACATACTATAACTGCTTCCTTTCCCTCAAGGTCTTCACTTCTTGGCAAAGGCAAACACCAACGAACTATGTAACTACAAATACTACCCAATGGCCCAACCACCCCAGAAAGGTTCTGGCAAACAAGGTGTCTGCAGATACACTGAAGTGAAAAACAAGATCACATTGTGGCAGCAGACTAGGGAGGGCACTTTTCCCTCATCCTTTAAACTGGGTTGGGGGAGGACAGAAGCAGTTATACACACACATTTAGCCTTATTTTCAAACCACTGACCCTAGCAATTTGATCTAATCAATAGAGCTTAAAGATTCTCAATGATGCCAACCTACAGTTCCAATAGTCACCTTTACTAAACTGTTCTGTGACCTCTCCCATTTCTTTCAAACATAATTCATAGATTTTAAGCTTTCTTCAATTGAAAGGCCAAGCATCAATAGACTACTGAGGGGGAAAAGCATACACCTGCACCATTCTCAGGCTAGGAAAAATAGGTCCTTTAAATAAGGGAAGTCCCTGGGCATTGGTCATTACTAATTCCAAGAAGTGAACAGAAATTCAAATAGTTCCAATATTCAATAGTTTCCCAGTATTTTAGCAAATACCAGGCCCAGGGACAAGGTTAGCGATATGGTAGAAATTTGAGCAAATTAAGGTCTAGTAGGTCTTGGTTTTCAACGTCACATCAGTTAGGTAAAATGATGACAAACTCAGTTAGTCTAGACCCCATTATATAAGATGATACAAAATAGACTATCTGAAGTGATGAAAACCAAGATTCTGTTTCACATTTCTAGAGCTTTTGCATTTAAAATTATCATTCTATGTTCTAAGTCCAAATATAAGCAGATAGTCTGGAGAAAGTGGCGCACATCCTAGGGTTAGTATTGGTGGGTAGCCCCAGGAGGAGTGTGGGCGACACACCATGCACACGGCAAACCAAGGCAAATACCCTTGTTGTTCTTCAGAACAGGCTGCTTGGCAGAGGGGGTTGGGGCAGGGATCCCAGCAGGTTTGGGGGTGGGCATGTTGACGAGGACCGACTGGAAAGGCACTCCCCCCGAGATTGGTTCCGGGGGAATCAGAGGCGGCAGCTCATCCTCATCAGCAGGGGCTGAGGGCTTACAGGATGACTCCAGCACCAGCCCAGGTGAGGACGGCAGAGGTTGCTGTTTAGGAAGCAGAGGGGGAACTGGGGAGGAAGCAACAGGCAGAGAGACTGATGGGGTGGGTGCTGGAGAGACAGATGCTGATCCAGCTTTAGGAAGGCCCTTCTCAGAGGCAGCTGTTGCTAGAGGTGTAGATGTCTCAGACTTTGGATGAGGAGGAGCCAAGGGACCCTTTGGAGAATGAAAAAAATCTTTGCCCTTTAAGGGAGAAATAGGGAGGGCATTTGGGGTCTTTGGAGAAGTGCCTTTCTGAGTGGAGCTGGTCAGTAGAAGGGTTGGAGGAGCCACTGTAGAAAGGGGTCCTTTAGTACCATTCTTAGCTGAGGGATCTGGGCACACAGGAGGTAAACTCTTCTTGGCTGGTGGACCTTCCTGAATGGGAGCTGTGATGACTGGTGTGCTTTCAGAAGCTGGGGCAACAAGTGCTGCTTTGAGAGCTGTAGAACCTTCCTTTATTGGGAGTCCCTTAGGTGCCTGATGGGCAATGGATCCCAAGGGACATGTGACCGGAACTGGGGAAGTAGGGGAATCTTTGGGGGATGGGATTGCTGGGCCTCCTTTGGGGGAGGAAGAAACCACAGCTGAGGGAGTAGGGGCCCCTTTTGGGGATATAGGAGTCACAGCTGAAGGAGTAGGAGTCCCTTTGGATGAAGGGGTAGCTGAGGGCTCTTTGGAGGATGGAGTTTTAGCTGGGGCTCTTTTGGGGGTTGGGGTAGCTGAATGTTCTTTGGGGGATGAAGGAGTCACAGCTGAGGGAGTAGGGGCCTCTTTGGGGGACAGAGTTTTAGCTGGGGCTCTTATAGGGGCTGGAGTTGTTGGGACCCCTTTGAGGGCTGGGGCAGCTGAGGGCTCTTTGGGGGCTGGAGTCACAGCTGAAGGAGGAGCCCCTTTGGGGGCTGGGGTGGCTGAGGGCTCTTTGGGGGCTGGAGTTTTAGCTGGGGTCCCTTTGGGGGCTGGAGTTGCTGGGACCCCTTTGGGCGGTGGGGCAGCTGAGGGCTCTTTGGGGGCTGGAGTCACAGCTGAAGGAGGAGCCCCTTTGGGGGCTGGGGTAGCTGGGGCCCCTTTGGGGGCTGGGGTAGCTGAGGGCTCTTTGGGGGCTGGAGTTTTAGCTGGGGCCCCTTTGGGGGCTGGGGCAGCTGAGGGCTCTTTGGGGGCTGGAGTTGCTGGGACCCCTTTTGGGGATAAAGGAGTCACAGCTGAAGGAGCAGCCCCTTTGGGGGCTGGGGTAGCTGGGGCCCCTTTGAGGGCTGGGGTAGCTGAGAGCTCTTTGGAGGATGGAGTTTTAGCTGGGGGCTCTTTGGGGGCTGGGGTAGCTGAGGGCCCTTTGGGGGCTAGAGTTGCTGGGACCCCTTTGGGGGTTAAAGGAGTCACAGATGAAGGAGCAGCCCCTTTGGGGGCTGGGGTAGCTGACAGCTCTTTGGAGGCTGGAGTTTTAGCTGGGGCCCCTTTGGGGGCTGGGGCAGCTGAGAGCTCTTTGGGGGTTGGAGTTTTAGCTGGGGCCCCTTTGGGGGTTGGAGTTGCTGGGACCCCTTTGGGGGCTGGGGTAGCTGAGGACTCTTTGGGGGGGGCTGGAGTTTTAGCTGGGGCCCCTTTGGGGGCTGGGGCAGCTGAGAGATCTTTGGGGGCTGGGGTTGCTGGGACCTCTTTGGGGGCTGAGGTAGCTGAAGGCTCTTTGGAGGCTGGAGTTTTAGCTGGGGCCCCTCTGGGGGCTGGGGCAGCTGAGGGCTCTTTGGAGGCTGGAGTCGCTGGGACCCCTTTCGGGGTTAAAGGTGTCACAGATGAAGGAGCAGCCCCTTTTGGGGCTGGGGTAGCTTTGGGGGGTGGGGTAGCTGAGAGCTCTTTGGGGGCTGGGGCAGTTGAGGGCTCATTGGGGGCTGGAGTTGCTGGGGCCCCTTTGGGGGCTGGGGCAGCTGAGACCCCTTTGGGGGCTGGAGTTTTAGCAGGGGCCCCTTTGGGGGCTGGGGCAGCTGAGGGCTCTTTGGAGGCTGGAGTTGCTGGGGCCCCTTTGGGGGCTGGGGTAGCTGAGGGCTCTTTGGGGGCTGGAGTTTTAGCTGGGGCCCCTTTGGGGGCTGGGGCAGCTGAGGGCTCTTTGGGGGCTGGAGTTGCTGGGACCTCTTTGGGGGTTAAAGGAGTCACAGATGAAGGAGCAGCCCCTTTTGGGTCTGGGGTAGCTTTGGGGGGTGGGGTAGCTGAGAGCTCTTTGGGGGCTGGGGCAGTTGAGGGCTCATTGGGGGCTGGAGTTGCTGGGGCCCCTTTGGGGGCTGGGGCAGCTGAGACCCCTTTGGGGGCTGGAGTTTTAGCAGGGGCCCCTTTGGGGGCTGGGGCAGCTGAGGGCTCTTTGGAGGCTGGAGTTGCTGGGGCCCCTTTGGGGGTTGGGGTAGCTGAGGGCTCTTTGGGGCCTGGAGTTTTAGCTGGGGCCTCTTTGGGGGCTGGGGTAGCTGAGGGCTCTTTGGGGGCTGGAGTTTTAGCTGGGGCCCCTTTGGGGGCTGGGGTAGCTGAGGGCTCTTTGGGGGCTGGAGTTTTAGCTGGGGCCCCTTTGGGGGCTGGGGTAGCTGAGGGCTCTTTGGGAGCTGGAGTTGCTGGGGCCCCTTTAGGGGCTGGTGCAGCTGAGGGCTCTTTGGGGGCTGGAGTTGCTGGGGCCCCTTTGGGGGCTGGGGTAGCTGAGGGCTCTTTGGGGACCGGAGTTGCTGGGGTCCCTTTGGGGGCTGGTGCAGCTGAGGGCTCTTTGGGGGATGGAGTTGCTGGGGCCACTTTGGAGGCTGGGGTAGCTAGGGCTCTTTTGGGAGATGGTATTTCTGAGGCTCCTTTGGAGGCTGAAGGCTCTTTGGAGGAAGGAGAAACCACAGCTGAAGAAGTAGGGGCCCCTTTGGGGGATGAAACTGCTGGGGCCCCTTTGGGGGTAGGGGTTGCTGGAGACTCTTTGGGGGATAGTGTAGCTGGGGCCCCTTTGGGAGACAGAGTTGCTGAGGTCCCTTTGGCTAGTGGGGCAGCTGAGGACTCTTTGAGGGATGAAGTTGCTAAGGCTCCTGTCGGGGAAGGGAGGGACATAGCTGGGGGAGTGGGGGCCCCTTTGGGTGAGGGAGCCATAGATGGAGCCTTGGGGGTCTCTTTAGGGGATGAGGTTGCAGGGTCCCTTTTTGGGGAGGGAGGAGCCATAGCTGAGGGAGTGGAGGCCCTCTTGGGAGGTGGGGTAGCTGGTGCTCCTTTGGGGGAGGAAGGAGTCACAGCTGGAGGAGGAGTCTCTCTAGGGGATGGGACTGCTGGCACCACTTTGGGGGAGGGAGGGGCGGCAGTTGGGGAAGTGGGGGCCCCTTTGGGGTATAGAGGAGTTGGGGACTGCTTCTTGGCTAGTGATCCTTTAGGGGCTTGGAAAGAAATACTGGCCTCTGGAAGAAAGGAAGCTTCAATTAGAGAAACAGGAGATGAGAGATTTCTCGCAGGAATATCAGAGATAGCAGGTACACTTTTAGAAACAGGAGGAGCAAGAGTTAAGGTAGTAGAAGTAGCTGAAACCTTCTTGGCTGGAGGTGTTCCAGTCTGAGAAGACACACTAGTCCCTAAAGATGAGGAGTCAGCTAGGTAAGTTCCTTTGGAAGATGCAGCAACAGAAGCACCCGAGTCCTCAGTTGGGCATCTGTCAGGAGAGGAAGCCACAGGTGCCAATGCTGAGGTATAAGAAATACTATGAACTCTCTTTGCAACTTGAGCAGTACCAGCAGGGGGAAGAGAGGGAAAGGGTTCTGATTTGGAAATTTCAGAAGCCAGTGCCACATTAGCTGGAGAAACAGAAACATTCTGTGGGGATAAAGTCATAGGTGAAGTCACAGGGCAACTTTCAGAGGTGGGAGGAACTAAAGGTAAAGCTGTAAGAGTAGAAGTACCCTTCTTGGCTGGGTAGCTTTTAGGAGCTAAAGAGACAGTTCCTTCTAAAGGGCTGGCTGTAGTTGTAGGAGTGGAGGTTCCTATGGCAGTTTTAAGAGTCACCCCAGAAGTGGCAGCACTTTCCAAAGGAAATGTAGCTATAGTTGGGGTAGTAAGAGAACCTTTGAGAAGCAGACTAGCAGGATCTGGGCTTGCATAAGGATCTGTCTTGATTATAGAGGCTGGGGAAACAACACCCAGAGGAGAGGTAGTAGCAACAGCTGGCTCACTTACAGGCAGAGGCTCTATTCGACTTTTGTTTGCTAAGGTGGCTTCAGGACAAAGAGATGCCTCCAGAAAAGATGATGTACTTTGGGGAGAGGGAAGATTTTGAGGGGCTGCCATGGTCAATGGTAGTACAATAGGGTCTTTCTTGGGAGGGAGTCCTGCCTGGGCTGGTGAAAGAGGGACTCCTACAGGAGAAGCAGGTACAGTTTGGAGACCTTTCTGTGTTGGGAACTTGACCAATACTGAAGGAGGGAGACTTTTGGGGTCCTCAGGGGCTGGAAGAGGAGGAGAGCCTGGTATCCCTAGAGTGGTTGTTACCTGAGGAGTAGGAAGCTCCTTGGGAGTCACAGGTGCCATAGCCAAGGCAGTATGGGAAGCTGAGCTCTTATTACTTATGAGACCTGATGAAATCGGAGGAGACATGCAAGTAGCACTTACTACCTCAAAGGTGGTAGGTGCTGCAAAAATTGTAGAGGGGTTAGTCACCACAAGTGAGGTGGTTCCAACAGAATAAACAGGAGCTTCTTTCAAGCTTGGACTTCCTGGAGAAGCAGGAGGAATCTGTGCCACCAAAGGCTGCTGATTAGTGGCATTAGGAGAGTCTTTCAGAATGAGAGAGGCTGTAGGAGACAAGGGAGAAGAGACAGCTGCATTTGAGGAACCAGAAGGGCTGCAGGAGGATACACTAGTGATGGTAGAGAGTCCCTTGTCAACAGACAGAGCCAGAGGGGAAGTTGGAGCTGCCACCGGAAAAGCAGCGACAGCAGCAGGAACCACCTCATTTCTGGAAGGAAGGGGAGGAATTACAGATTGCTGAGAAGGGTAAGAGGCCCCTATGGAAGAATGATCTACAGAAATGGTATCCACTATAGAATCTCCTTGATCTACAGGTTGGGCAGAAGAACCAAGACAACTCTGATGTAAAGAAGGTACAAGATGAGAGCCCAGAGAAGTGAGGAAAACTGGGGGGACATTGGGAGCTTTAGGAACACACTGGCTTAAAAGAGGTAAGGCAGCGGGTGGACTAAGGGGTCTTTTTATGCTGAGGCTTACAGAATTTTGTGGAGAAGTCAGAGCTGAGGAAATAGGTATGCCTTTGACCTGAGGGGAAGTGATGGCTAGGGGAGTGGTGGGTGGTGCCTCAGCACTTGAGGCTACTTCACATTGAAAAGAGGCCAAGGGAGTTACCAGATGGGAAGGAACAGCACTGGCTATATATGGAGGGATGGGGACTACTTTTGAATTAGGGACTACTTGAGAGGGAGGTTGAATAGGAGAGGTCTTTGGCTCTGAGGAAGCAATGGGAGCTGACTGAGGTGTCACTGACAATGACTCAGCCACAACAGCTGGAGGTGAACTAATAGGCTTAGGTGGATCAGCAGAGCTCTTCTGAACTGAGTGGGGAGCCAAGGCCACCAGAGTCAAGGGAGCTGAAGAGGGATGGACACCTTTCCGAGTTGGAGTTATCATGGGAGAGGCCAGAGCTAAGGCAGCTGGGGAGATGGGAGGCCCTATTAGGTTTGGCAGGAAAGCTGGGGGATCAGGGGGGGGAGGAGCAGCCCCCAAAGGCAGGGCTGTCCCAGAGGATGCCTGGGGAAAAGGAGCTTCAAAAGAGGTTGAGGAAATAGTAGAGGGAGAAAGGAGTGGGGTAGGCTGGTTAGGGGTTGCCAGGGGGCACTGTTGCAGGGGCAGGGAGCAAGGAGGGGGAAGGGTTGGTATAGGCTGCCCTAAGGCAGCAGTGACATTCAAGGCTGGAGACACAGGAAGCACAGCTGGAGGAGAAAAGCAAAAAAGGGAATAAAGAAGGAAAGGGAAGGAAAAAAATAAAGGTGAGTTATGCAGCCCAACTTGGTACAACATGTTTCATAAGAAACACCAGAATTTTTAATCTGAGGAAAGTCACCACATAGGATTAGACAAAGGTGACAGATAATAGCAACCCTTCCATAACATACTTCAGTAGTCAAAAGTAAGAATACACCCCTCCCTTCCTTCCTCAAATGAGCCCTAAGTCTTTCCCACAGACCACAGAACCACCACCAGAAGAACAGCTGTTCCACCCTGTCCACCCAAGGACCATGAACAAATTAAAACAGATACTGATAACCGAAACAAGGAAGGTGGTGAGTGGTGATGATAATAAGGAATCAGAGCTGAATGAGAAAAAACACACACACAAGTCTTTATATGCTCAGGCTTCCACTAGATCAGGAAAAACTTGACTCTTAAAATTCAATTCTTCATAAAGTTGAAACGCTTCAGAATTTAATACTAAACTATTAAAGCAGGCCACTCAGCCTCCCTATGCCTCAGTTTACTTATCCAAAACAAACAAAAAACCAATCACAAATGGGTTGTACTCCATAGTCTCTATAGACCTTCCCAGGTAATATTAGCTTCAGACATCAATCTCAGATGGATTAGACTGCCAGGGAGACAGCTTAGTCACAAGGGTAGGGGCTGTATTATAAAACTGTAACCCAACTTGTTAAACCAGACTGTGGTTCTATTTTGGAAGTAGGGAACTGCAGTGGAGAGAATACATTGGATCCCCACCCCTTAGTGTGGGTAAGTATGTCATTCTGTCAAAATAGACCAACATTTGGCACTAGAGTAAAGCTAAGCAAGATATTCAGGATAGAAAAATCCATGCTTACTATTTAGGAGATAACACAGGAGTACTGCAACAAATGCTCAACACCTTGAAGGGAGTATTTAAAATAAAACAAAACAAAACAGCCGGTAGCGTTTAAATACACAATTTTCTAAGAGTATTCTACCACAGAAAGGACAGGCAGCTCAACCAGTTTTTCCTGAGAGTTGGAAGGTCAAAGTCTTATGATTAAAGTGCAAATGCTTTCAAACATCATCAGAATTTGAAACTGAGAATGTTTTCCTCTGACTGGACCTCAAGATGGGATAAGGACCACTGGTTTAGGCACTATAACCAATTCCCCGAGGTAGTTTTCTCGTGCACTCTAATTATTTAATTATATTAATTAAAAAAATTCTCAGTGTTTATCACTGGTACTCCCTTGATATTATCAAACCTACTGTGCAAGCTCAAACTTCAGGAATCAGTTTAATAGCACTGTTGAAGAACTGCTTCAGAAACAAAGAGCCATTACTTTTGAAGCTTGAAACGATTATTCTAAACTCATCTGAATTTCACTCTCCACATTTGTAAAATCAAGTAGTTCAATGATACTCTACAGTTTCATTTAGCACTGAATTACAGGATCTTTAGGGAGCAGTCCTTAACTTTTCCCTTAAGTCCCTTGTAGTTCAAAGATTTTACATAGCTCATTCCCAAGCTCAGGGACCCCCCTCCCTTTTCTTTTCTAGCAGCTGTATTAATCCTATCAGCTGCTGAAATCAGACAGGTGGAGAGGGATAACTTTAATGCTTTCAACTATAAACAACTTTATTTTAATTTCAGGAGACAGAAATTGCCCTTAAGTGACAGGTGCAGTTGGGGAGGGGGGGCCCCCGATGGACGACGAATTTACTATAAGAAAAAAAAAGATGGAGATGACAGCCTAAAAATTCCCTTCACTTAGTTCTGTACAACTCAGCAAGATCATTATTAATAAAGTGTTTTCACTACCCCCTTTCTCAAGTTTTATAGAGATGTACTTTAACCAGAATCCAAAACCTGCTTTTACACTATATTCTACATCCATTAATTTCAAAGCCTAACAGCAGTCAAAGAAAGGCTTTATTTCAATCCTGGGTTCCAGACAAGCTGTTGACGCAGGCACTATTCCAGCACACTAGAAACATCTCATCACCAAACCCTAAAACAATAAACCGACCATAGGATGGCCCTTGGTTTCAGGACACATTTACCACAGCACACATCTCATTGAGACATGTGATGACGGCACAATGCCAAACTCTGTCATCTGAAACCTTGATGCAATTCGCTGGCCGGAACTTCAGGAAAACTCAGGTCTGGTTGGCCTGCCAGTGATTCATCCAGTTCTAATAGGTAAGAATCACTGAACCCCTGCCCTGCTCAGTTTTGCTATGTGAGGTGGTTCCACAGCGGAGGTCCCTTTGAGGCAGTTGCCACACCTACAAAACAAGCCAGGGAGCTTTTAATGTTCCTGAATCTTAAATATACTGTTTTTATCCAACTCCCTAATGAAGTCCTTCCAGGACAGCAGTTAATAATAATGGACTCTCCTCCCTGACAGAGCTACAGCCTCATCTTCTTTAATAAGAGAAAACCCTGAAAGACATAAAGTGCACTCCCTTTGTCACTTTACCCACCAAATGGTCTTAGGGTCGATCTCACAATCTTAATTAACTGCACGAGGGCTAGGGGAACCTACCTGTCTCAGCCTGGGGCTGTGGCAACTCTTGCTCTGTAGCAGGGACGGTTTCTGTGGCTTCACCGGGCATTTCTGAAGGAAAGAAAAAGGAGGCCTGAATTGACTGGGATCCGTTCTGCTGCCTAACCCAGAGCCAGGTAGTCTTAATAACTCTGCGGAAAACTGGGGGGAGGGGGGATCATGAGTATTTGGGGACAACCCTTCACAAAGCACCTGGCAAGAGGTGAGAAATGTGACATGACCCTCACAGTTCTAACCAAGCGAATCACATCTTCTTTCACCGCTTCTCTTCACTCCGCAGATACGACTTTCCAGTTCCCAGGGGTTCGTTTTATCCCACACTTCAAATCCCACAAGGGAAGCAATCAGTACTGCGTTTTCAACCCGAGAGGAACCCGGTCTGGCTCCCGACCATGGGAGACTTCAGACGCTATCTTGAACTACCTCCCCTCCTACGTTCACGCAGCCTGGGCAGGAACCTCCAGGACTCCCACTTGCCGACTTTCCGGCATTAAGAGGGGAAAGAGGGTGCCTTAAGTCCAAAACACTCGTTTGTCACTATAAGAACGACGGGGGGCGGATTTCCAAGGCCATGACCCCTTAACCTCCCCCGGGTTCTCGTGAAGCAGCTCTCAATTGCAGAAGCACTCCGCTTCCGCCCCCAACACCAAACCGGCTCCCATCATGCCAGCCCCGGACTAACAGCCCAGCCCGCGGCCCTTCTGCCCTCCTTTTGCCAGGGCACCAATCGCAGACCCCATTTTGTCCGGAGACACCAAAGCCACAATTCCCAAGGTCGAGTAGGAATCAGGCGGCTACATAAAGCCTCCAATTCTCCTCAGCTCCCAGACCCCAGGGTCGCTTAGACTGCAAGAAAGGCGGATGGTTGTGGATAGAGAGCAGCAGCAAAGACACAACTTACTGTACGGCGAACGCGGAACCAAGATGGCGGCAGAAAGAGAGCGAGCGACAGCGTGACCCACGCCTGTTGCAGAAGGAAGCCTGGCGGAGAGGGAGGAACTAGAATCCGCTTCCGGGTCAGCAGCTGCAGACAGTCACTTCCTTTAACTAGTGACCCGTCCGCCTCCCTCCGGCTGTATCCAGATGGGTAGTGACGAGGTCTAAATAAGGATAAGAATTCAGCACTGGACGCGCTAGCCCGCCGGGAACTCTCTGCTCCGCGGTCCTTAGATAGCCGACCCCTTCCCGTTCCCCAGGTCGAAGCATTTTGATCCGTGAAGGGTAAATGCAGCGAGAGAAGTAACCAACCTCTGCCTTCTGGTCAGCAAAATACCCACATAATTATTATTTCGACTTTTGGTTTTCCTTTCTCAAATAAAGCAGGAAAATAAGAGGTTTAAAATAAGGAATGCCAGAGTGTATGCACACCATTGTAGGGTAGCAGTGACCTACAGGTTAACCCTCAATTACTTTATTTTTGGAATACACAATTTAGACCAATGGTGAAGTCATATGCAATTCTTTTTGCCTGATAGTTTGGGCACTTATTAGGTACCCTGAAACCCATTCATTTGGGTCCAGCACCCCACATTAAGTACTCATAGAGTAGTATTCTTTTTATTTTTTTATTCTATTGGTTTTAGAGAGGAAGGGAAAGAAAAACATCGATTTTTAAAAATCATTTTTTATTTCCAATTACAGATTACATTATTATATTAGTTTCAGGTGTACACCCCAGTGATTACACATTACATAACTTACAAAGTGATCATCCTGATAAATCTAGCATCCGACACCATATGTAGTTATAAGAATATTAAGAAATATTGGTTTGTTGTTCCACTTATTTATGTACTCACTGTTTGATTCTTGTATGTTCCCTGACCAGGGATGGAATCGGCAGCCCTGGCATATCAGGATGATGCTCTAACCAACTGCGCTGCCTGGTAGAATGTAAAATCAGTGTTTTGTTAATGAAAGGCCCTGGCTCCCATACTGTTAATCCTACAAAAGAACTCAATAAATACAGTGTATTACCTGAACCAGCTAACGCTATTTGAGGTATGGCTTAAGACAACTGTGGCTGCCTTTTAAGGAAAGCAGTGAACATTTAAAAAGCTCTGAAAGCTACTTTAAAACTTCCAAGACCTTTACATAATGAAGTGAGGATTAGGATTAGTGAATTAGGATTAAATGAGATAGTGTAGTTTACGAGGAATGAAAAATTCTGAAATTCTCTTCAGATAGGAGACACAATATTGTGGAGTGATTAAGGAGAAGGACTCTGGGCCCTGGCTGGGTAACTCGGTTAGAGCTTGGACCTGATAAACTAAGATTGTGGGTTTGATTCCCAGTCAGGGCACATACAAGAAGCAACCAATGAATGCATAAATAAATGGAACAACAGATTGATGTTTTCCTCTCTCTAAACACACACACACACACACACACACACACAGGTGTGTGTATATATATAGAGGAGTGACTGAGTAAGAACGTGGACTCTGAAGCCAGACTACTTTGTCTGAATCTGAGCTTGGTTACCTAACAGTGACCTTAGGCAATTAACCAATTTGTGCCTCAGTTTTCTCACTTGGCGATAATGGTAGTTACTTAATAGGATTGTTAGGAAAATTAAAATAGGTAAAATATGTACATTACTTAAAAAGTGTTTATTGTTACTATTAAAATTATAGAATCTCTACCTAAGTAAATAAGTGATCTGGAAGATTTGCCAAAGCAGTCCAGTTACCTTCAGAAGAAAAGGCCAGCAATCGCCAATCATCTCTTTAGACAAACTAAACGACCTACATTTTGACCATTTCTTTCTTTCCCAGCAAGCTGACTTTTTCAAAAATGTTTTAATTGATTTCAGAGAGAGAGGGAGAAATAGAAATGTCAATGATGAACCCGGCCGGGCATGGCTCAGTGGTTGAGCATCGACCTGGGATCCAGGCAATGGGGGTTCGATTCCTGGTCAGGGCACATGCCTGGGTTGCGGGCTAGGCAGCCGATCAATGACTCTCTCATTGATGTTTCTATCTCTCTCTCCCCCTCCTTTCCTCTCTCTGAAATCAATAAAGTTATGTTTAAAAAAAAAAATGTCAACGATGAGTCCATGATTGGCAGCCTCCTGCATGCCCCCTACTGGGGGCTGAATGGGCAACCTGGGCATGCCCTGACTTGGAATCGAACTGCGACCTCCTGGTTCATAGGTTAATGCTCAACCACTGAAAAACATTGGCTGGGCGCCCAATGACTTTTCTAATGTTGTTGTTAATGAGTTGCTAAGGAAGGATGCATTTTTTTTTTTGGGTTTCCTTATAAATCGGGCAAGTTTGGAGATGGAAATCAGTTGTTCCCTTTATTTCTATAATCCTTATATATGTGCAGGAGTTGGAAAATCAAATAGGGAAGTCAGTAGTCTTTGAGCACTTTTATGCTCTCTTCAGGAATCAAACATTTACTCTTTAACATACGCACAGTATGTTCTATAAATTTTATGGGCTAGTATACCAACTTTTATCCAAGGGCTTTTATATATATATATATTTAATATATCTGCATTGATTTCAGAGAGAGGAAGGGAGTGGGAGAGAGAGAGAAACATAAATGATGAGAATCATTGATCGGCTGCCTCCTGCTTGTCCCCGACTGGGGATTGAGCCTGTAACCTGGGCATGTGCCCTGACTGGAATCGAACCACGATCTCCTGGATCCTAGGTCTATGCTCAGCTGTTGAGCCACACCGGGCTGGGCAAAGGGCTTTAACTTTATTTATTTTTTATTTTTTTTAATATATATTTTTAAATTTAAAATATTTATTTTTGTTTAAAATATTACAGATGTAAGGGCTTTAACTTTAAAGCACTGAAATACTTGAATGCTAGACACATTGGAAGCTTAAAAGATCTCATTGTAAGTATAACACCAGTCCTTCTATTCTCATTCTGAGTTCTTAAGGTGGACCAATGAATCTAGTAATTTTGTACTCAGGAATTTCAATTGACCCACTTTTCCCCAAACCTGAAGACTGAACAATATGTAGTACACAGAAGCTCAAATAATGTGGAATTTCACACAATAATCTTTAATATTTTTCTTAAAAAATTAGAAGCAAAAGAAATGTAAGGCATTTCAGTATGTTGACTGCGTTATAGTGTTTTATATAAGGCTGTGTAGCTATAGAGAAAACAATGGTAAAGGAAATGCAAAGTAAGGAAAATTTTCATAAATTACGGAAAGTAACAGCCTGATAGCTTGCTTCCCAGTGTTTCTCAGAAGACAGAATGCAAACCAGAATGGCTGTTTTGTTTAGACTTGTTGTAAAACCAGAAAAAAAGAAATCTGATACTTTACAATCTATCACACAAAATCAAATACGGAAGAAATGAAAACTTTAAAATTAAATTTAAATATCTGGACATATTCTGGAAATACTGAAGGTCCAAGTGTCTTGACAAGTATAACACATTTTTTGTTGGTTAAGTTGGTTATTTTTTCTAAGCTGCTGCTTTACCATGTAAACTAATCTGATTGTTCCAATTGTTCTCTAACCTAAGAAGGAGCTACAATTGCAATAGTTGTAAACAATACTCTACTAGGCCATATTATAATAATCTAGTAACTCACACCTTTTGGATTAAAGTTTTGGTAGGTTTAGATACTCAGTTTAAAATGATTTTTAAAAGATTGGCTGTGAGGTGACCTATAAAAATATTACTAAGCAAAGAAGAGACTGAATACACACTGCAGGTATAATTAACTTAAGTGTCTAAGACTTAAGGACAAAGCCCTCATTCACCTTGAATATTCACTCTGGAAGTAAGGACGCTGTATCCAGCAAGCTGAGATTAAAGTCTTGGGCATATTACTGCTCAGTTACCTCTATATATTGCAACTGGTAGAAGTATTTATGACAGAAATCTAAGAATTATCTTTGTATAATATTAAATTTTTACAAATTTATCTGCAATCCACTTATTCCTCCCATTATTCTTCCTTCCAGCAACCTGGACACTCTACTTTGGTGGTATTAGGACTCTTTTAAACATAATTATTTCTCAAGAAAAGGAAATTTTGCTTTGAGCATTAAAATGTATACATGTTTCTGCCATATATATTTAATGTCTCTTGAAGTATTTGATTTGTGGTTGAAGGTAGAAGTTATACACATTGGTTGAAGGGGAGTTGTTATCTTCAGAAGTCTCTTTGTAAATCTAAAATAGAATAGATTTTTATCAAAGGATAGTAAAGGAAAACAAAACAAAGCCCATTTATTTTCATATTCTGATTTGCTTAATGCTTCCACTAAGTTCACATCATGCATAAAGATTTGCTTTCACATTTACTGAAGCCCACTTTACAGTACAGAACAAGAATACAAAGGACTTAATATGGTGAGTTGGAATGGCAGCTTTAACAAGGTTTCCAAGTTCAGGGTCATCATTGTTCATTCAATAGGTACATATCTGAGTATCTACTATGAGTAGAGCATTGTTTTAGGCACTACTCTTTAGCCATCACAAATTTTATTAAAAAATGAAGTGGAAAAGGAGTTTATATTTCTATAACGTTGCCAACGTTTTCTATGGTATTCATTAATCTCTTAAATAATCTTCACTGCTGATTTTTTTCCTTTTGTCTTACACATATGCTCAGGTCTCTCCTATCCAAAGAATGTTTCCTTTGACAGTGCTATACTCTTAGCACATCCCTCTAGTTCCTATATGCAACAGCATTATATCAGTTACTACTGCATTTGACACTTGATAATCTTGAAACTTTTCTTTGCCCTGGCTTCTGTGGCACCTTTACCTCCATTTTTCATCTCTCCACTTCCAAGTCATTACTGAGTCTCAAGGACTACTGTTTTGGAGATCTCCAATACTACTGTCCTAATGGTAATAGACCACTGGCCTCTTGGGTTCTTTCTGTTCCCTACCTCTTTCCAGATATACTGTTGATAGATTTATTTTTCTAGACAAAACTACAAATCATGGCACTCCCTTCCTTAGTCTGCTTCTTAAGAACTCATCTCATTACTTCCTGACATATCTTTTTCCAGATTAGCTGTAGTACTTGATGGTCTCCAGAGTGACCCAATGCTTTTTTGCCTCTATGCCTTTGCTCCTGGTAGTCCTTTCAAGAACGAAGAGCCTGTCTCCTTTTCACACCCCTGTATCCCGATCTCATCAAATCTCTGCTTGTGGAGATACTACTCATACTTCAAGGCATGGTATATTGGCACTGGGGGATTAGACTTCATATAGCAGCTTACTGAAAAGAATTCCAATACCACCTCTTCTTGTATGAAATCTTCCCAGGTTATTTCAGTCAGATGAGATTTCTTTCTTAGCATTTTGTACTTCTTTGTTTTGTACCAGTTAGTACTTACTCAGAACAGGGAGGAATGGTGTGTAATTCATCTTTGTGTAATTCATCTTTATTTCCCTCATAGAACCTGACACTTGGAAAGTGTTTAATAAGTATGTGTTGAACTGAATTAAGGGACCTTAATTTTCAAAAAACACTAAATTTAGTGAGGTAAATCAATAACATTTTTGGGAGGGCAAAGACTAGAGCCCTAAAATTGCTCACTTGCTGGATGCTTTAAACTACTATGCTAAGATCTAAATAGCTAAAAGGGAAAGGTATAGAGTCTTACCACTCTTCTTGAGAAGTTCTCCTTTTCGAGATTTATCCAGGTTTTCAAGAAACTGTTCAAAAACTTTTACATAAGGACCTAGACTGGTCTTCTTATAATCTAAATTATAAAGACCAAGCATTATAGTTAGCATTTTGGCAGCAAGAATAGCAGGAAAGTATAAGTTTCTAAGTTTCTTATAAGAATTCTAGAACAATGCTGTCCAACAGAAATATGAGAAACGTGTAATTTTACACTCTAGTAGCCACATTTTTTAAAAAGGTAAAATTAGCCTGGCCAGTGTGGCTCAGCAATTGAGCAGCGACTATGATCCAAGAGATAGTGGTTTGATTCCTGGTCAGGGCATAGGCCCAGGTTGCGGGCTCAATCCCCAGCAGGGGGTGTGCAGGAGGCAGCCAATAATGACTCTCTTATCATTGATGTTTCCGTCCCCACCCCCTTCTCTCCCTGTCCCTTGCTCTCTCTGAAATGAATAAAGACACATTAAAAAAAAAGTGAAATTAATTTTAATAATATATTTTAACTCACCTCAATATTAAATAGTATCTACAATATTATTTCAAAGCGTAATAAAAATGGAAATATCTTATATTCTCTTTCATACTAAGTCTCTGAAATCTAGTATTTTGTACTTTTACATCTCAGTTTAGATGCTATACTGTTATCAGAAATATTTGCTCTAGCACGGCCAGGCATGGCTCAGCGGTTGAGCGTCGACCTAGGATCCAGGCGATCGGGGTTCGATTCCTGGTCAGGGCACATACCCAGGTTGCGGGCTCGATCCCCAGTCAGGCGCATGCAGGAGGCAGCCGATCGATGACTCTCTCATCATTGATATTTCTATCTCTCTCCCTCTCCTTTCCTCTCTCTGAAATCAATAAAGATATATTTAAAAAAAAAAAGAAGTATTTGCTCTATATTTAGATTATAAAACATAGTTTAAAAAAAGTATGCTCATATACCCAAAATTTCCAAATATACTTAAAAGTTTTCCAATAATTAAATCAACCATGTTTTTAAATTTAATTAAAATGAAATTTAAAAATTAGTTCCTTAGTTTACATCAGCCACATTTTAAGTGCCAGTAGCGACAGGTGGCTACTGTATTAGACAGTGCTGCTCTAGAACATCTAAACCACATGTATGTATCTATTCTAGTAGGCTTTCTAGTATTAGACCAATATAATCTATTGCTTTGTGTTAAGTTCCATCCAACATTCCTTTCTTTATAAAGTGTGGCTTCAATAATAACTAGTTTTACCAACACAGTAAAACATTAAAAATGTGAAGTCAGGGCCATGCCTTCCTGACACGATCAGAAGTTAGTAGACACAATGCATTAAGTACAAGCATTTGATATGTAAGTAGTTTGTAAAAAATTTTGAATACAGAATCTCAATCATCCATTTAATTACACAATCTATAATTAATACCCAATAGGGGGGAAAAGTGTGATTGAGAACGAGATGAGATTTAGATTTTGGTAGTATGCTATGCCTTTATGGAATTAAGAATCCTCACAATAGTTCACTGAAAAGAATACAAAAAGAAATTATACTTTAAAATATTTTTGGTAAATGTTATTTAATTTACTTGGGACTGGAAACAGAATCTTGATGTGGGTATTATGGATGAATATCTGATCTGGCAATTATGAAAGTACATTATAACTTTATCCTAAATTTTTACATATGAATTTTCTTATAATAAATGAACTTACACCAATGACACAGTTTAGTTTGGGATCAACTACATAGGACTTTGAATCTTTTTTTTTAAGATTTTTATTTTATTTATTTTTTAAATGTTTTTTATGGATTTTAGAGAGAGAGGAAGGGAGAGGGGGGAGAGAAACATCAATGGGTTGCCTCCCACATGCCCTGAGCATGTGTCCTGACTGGAAACTGAACCAGCAACTTTTTGGTGCAAGGATGATGCCCAACAAACTGAGCCACACTGGCCAGGGAGTACTAACAGGTTTATAATGGAAAAAGTATCAGTCCCCTGACCATCTTCTTGAATAGCAACCACTTTTTTCTTTTCTAGCACCCATTTCTAACAAATGAACACTTCTGTTGTTTAGAAATCTGAGGCCATTCTTTCTAGGTCTGCATTTTGGGAGGTGGGCAGGGAGGGGAAGTAGGATGGGGTTTGAAAGCTTTTAAGATCTTTTCTTAATTCTCAGAGTTCTGAAATTTCAAATGATGTGCTTTGGTATAGATCTGTTTTCTTACTATGCTGAGCTCTTTTAATAAAAGACTCATTACAGGGATGTTTTCCTATGTAATTTTGACAATTATTTCTTCCCTGTTTTATTTGTTCTTTTTCTGAAACTCCAATAGTCAGATCATAGACCTCCTGAAACAGTCTTCTAATTTTACCTTTTCCCTTAAAACAACAATAACCACCACCACCACCATCTTGTCTTTTTTGTACTGCTTTCTGGGAAATATCAACTGTTCTTTTCCAGCCCTTCCACTGAACTTTTTATTCTAATGATTTTTGATTTCTAAGACCTCTTTCTTGTTTTATTTTTATTTTATTTTATTGATTTTAGAGAGAGGAAGGGACACCACACAGAGAAACAACAATTTGTTGTTCCACTTATTTATACATTCATTGCTTGATTCTTGTATGTGCTCTGATTGGGGACGGAACCCTCAACCTTGGCATGGGGACAATGCTCTAACCAACTGAGCTACCTGGCCAGGGCTCTTTCTTGTTTTATGAGAATTTCTTTTTCATAGTATTCTGATCTTACTTCATGGATGCACTATTTTCTTATTCTCTGAAGACATTAATTGTTTTTTTCTAAAGGTTTCCATTGTTCTTTTCGATGTCTGTTTTCTCTTTGAGTTCCCTTTTTCCAGTTTATTCTGATTTTTCAAATATTTTGAACAGAATACTTGTAATTACTCTATAAACATTAATAGTGTAATGTACTATGTTTAGATATTATGTTAGAACTAGAATAGATAAAGTGATATTTAAGCTTGGGTTTTGAAAGAATAATAGCAACATTTGACTGAAAAAGGTCAAACAGAGAGCACAGATCTGCACTGTCCAGTACAGTAGTCACTAGCCATATGTAGCTATTTAACTTAAAATTAAATGAAATTAGAAATCCAGTTTCTTACATTTCAAGTGCTCAAAAGCCACTTGATATGGCTAGTGACTACCATACTGGGCAGTGCATAACATTTCCATCATCATAGAAAGTGCTATTGGACTCTATTACCACAGAGGGTCTCTTGGGTGTTGGTATAAGATACGACTTCCATTAGCAGGAAGATTTATAAATTCCGCAGGCCCTTCAAATTCTTGAATATATAATTCAATCATAGTTTAGACATATATTTACCATAGCCCTCATCTGAACACATCAAAACAAAGAACAAAAGTACAGCATACATAGTAGTTGCTTAATAAATAACTATTGATGAGACTGACGAATGTCAGAGGGATGGAGGAGGGCAGGTGGGTGGAGGGGGAGAGAGTAACCAAAGAATTTATTTGCATATATGTACAACCCAAGGACATGGACAATGCTGGGGAGAGGGACTGGGGATGGGGGTGGGAAAGGGTGGAATGGGTCAGTGGGGAGAAAAAGGGACATCTGTAATATCTGAAACAAAAATAAAATTTAAAAATATATATAAAAAAATAAATAGTTTGGTTTTGCAGTAAAAAAAAGTGAGATTCAAACAATTATCAATACCAGTTGACAGCCTAATCTTACAATATAGATTGTAAGCATTTAGATATTGCTTAGTAAATATCTGATGACTCAAACTGGATTTAACAGCACCATTCCAGGTGGGCAATTGCTGAAGGAGAGAAACACAGCTATAACATTATTTGCTACTGAGTTGGTTTCAGGATAAACATTGATCCATTCATTCTGGGATGAATCTAAGGGGAGTTACTGGAGTGACGGAAGGATGTCTATATAAAAAGCTTGTGTTAAAATGAGACTTTGGCCCTAGCTGGTTTGGCTTAGTGGTTAGAGCATCGATCCTTGGACTGAAGGGTCCCAGGTACGATCCTGGCCAAGGGCACATACCTTGGTTGCAGGCTCAATCCCTGGCCCTGGTTGGCACGAGAGTGAGAAGCAACCAATTGATGTGTCTCTCTCACATTGGTGTTTTTCCCCCTGGCCCCGAAAAGCAATGGAAAAAATATCCTTGGGTGAGGATTAAAAAGGAAAAAAAAATAAAAATAAAAATGAGACTTCAACGTATTAACCTACCTCTGGTTCTATGTTTGATATCTGATTCAGCTTTGTTCTCCACTTTTTCCTCTTCATTAGTGGAAATGGCATCTAATTCACGGCAAATGGAGCTACAAATAATAGAATAAGAGAATTTTAAAGTTGATTCTTGGTCAATATTACCCAGTGTATCATCATAGCACATGAATCCCTCAATATTTTCTGTGAAACAATTATGTGGCCAACTAATTTGGGATACTCTAAACATCATAATCTCTTCTTGGAGTTTTCCATGCAATATTAGCATATAAAAGACTGGGAAATCTTTTTTTTGAGAATTAAAAGAGCAGAGACTCAATGTCACTCATTCTCCAGCATGAGTAACTCCACAGGTTGAGAGGCAGGAACATGTTGAAGTAATGCAATTTATCCAGCCATTGAATAGGCTGGCTAGAGCTGGCACAAACTCCAAATTACTCTTGCATACACTGTCCCCCCTGCCTGGCCATGAGCACAGTCAGGCAAGGTCTACGGGTCTGCCCCAAACTGGAAAATCTGGCAGTAAAGAACTTTTAATCTGTTTAAGCCAAGATTTCCCCAACTTATTTGAACTGAAAAATATTCTTTTTTTCCAAATTATAAGAGAAAGTTTATTTAGGAAGTTATAGAGGTAGTAAAAGTGAGCCAGCTGGGCTGCGTAGGCTTAGGAAACAAGTTACAGAGGGAGAAGAAGGGCCCCTAGAGCTTAGCAGTAATGCACCTGGGGGAAGAAAAGGGAGAAGGAAAGGTGCCAGTGAGCTCCCTAGACGGAGAGCACATTTAACTAAAAAATCTTTTTCTTGCATAACAGCAGCTGAAAAACTTGTGCTCTGTGGAACTCACTAGGAAATGTTGCTCTACTTGGGCATTGTCATATAGCCTCAGTGCAGCTGCTTCTCTGGAAGGAATCGAATCGAATCGAATCGAATCTACTTTAAATTCAGGACAATCACAAACAGAAAAGTGATCAATGATCTGGAACATACCTTATGGTTGGAACAGTAAACGGATCAAACTGATCCACTTTCTGTAAATCAATAGGCACTGATATTCGACCTGAAAGAACCAAAAGTTATAAACGGATGATTGTGGAATACAAATCATTATAGGCTGTCTCCTAGAAGTTATTTTTGGCTAAAATTTTAAGGTTTAGGAAATGGGTTAGACTTATTTGTTAAGTACAATAGAAATATAAATTAAAAGTACTTTCATATTTGCTGTGCCTTTTATTCTTCTTAAAAAAACACCAAAACATAGGAGTGAAAGACAGTTAAGCTATTCCTAGTTGCTCTTATTTCTACCCACTTCCTAATATCCTCCTACATTTAAGTACAAAATGATCTCAAATTGAGTGAGTCTTGAAAACTGAATGGAATAGATGGAAACAGTTCATTTCATTACCTTGGTTTATCTGCTGAGATTAAAGCAGACACCTATATGTTGGACATCTTGAAAAGCATTTAAGAAATCAAATAAACAACATTATACTACCCTTTTATAGTACCCACACCTGGGATACTACCTAAAATTCATCAGATCTCAAAAATGAGATAATGAATGTAAAGACTGCCAGGTGAATAACAAGGAAAATAATTCAGGGAATTGGGAGTTGATGTTAAAGACAGAGTAAAAAGACTGCAACTAATTAATGGAAAAAGGATATAATAAAAATATTCACTTATGAATGAACACAATTATTTACCCAAACCTTGAATATTAGAATAAGGGGATATCCAGTGATGCTTTAGAATTAAGCTTAAAATAAATATTAAGCTTATTACCAAAAGAAGCTAAATACATAGTTGACAGGTTTGAAAAAGGGCTACACAAATGTATGGATTAGTCATTATAGATTAAGGGAAACTAGGCAATTTAGAGAACTGAATGTGTGACAATTTTCTAAGTGCTTTACATTTTAGATGGTCACAATAACCCACTGAGGTAGGTACTATCCTTATCTCCAGTTTATGGATGAGAAAACCAAGGGACACAGAGTAATTTCCCTAATATCCCACATCCAGCGGCAGAGTTGGGTTGTTGACACCAAAAAGGACAACTATATACTTTTCTGTCTCCTGGTTGGATGGAGTAAAGTTCATGCCAATATAGCCACTTTATACTTTAAAGTCAGTTTCAGTCCCATCAAATCTTATCTAAGAGACATGTGAAAGAGGAAAGTTAAAACTACTGAAAAACTACTGAGGGAGGCAGCATAGTGGAAAAAGCACAGAACTTTGAGTTTTTGGAACTAAAACTCTGTTCCTAGCTCCGACACAATTTATTTTAAGACTGTGGGACAAGTCACTTTAATCTCTTGGGCCACTGTTTCCTCATCTGTACAAGAACTACTGTCCTGTAATTTCTAAGTTCTTCTCCAACTCTAATTCTAACATTGAACCTCAGAAACCCAACTGAAAATTATTTATGTAGTGTAAACTCATCTAGTAGCTACTAATCAACAATTAAAAAATAAGTTAATTTAGTTATTAGCTGACAGAACAAGTCTTCAGCCTTTATTATGCCAGGCATCACATGTATTCACACCTAGTGGCATGCTTGCTAAAACAAAAAAGAACTTTCATTTTTCTTTTAGTTCTCCTTATTTTCTTTTCATAGTACCTGTTTTAGGATGAACACTAAAAGGGCTCTTTAGCAAATGATTGATTCCTTTGCTAACATTGATATCCAGCCGTGGAAAACAGTACTGGAGCATGATCTCCCATTCAAGCCAGGGTCCACATTTGTCATTTTTTATGTCATTCTAAAAGTAGATGCAAGTCCAGCATGAGAATCAGTAGAAACTTTGGAGGATTTCTTGCAAAGTGGTTAAAAAGTGATCGTCAATCATCTTTAACTTAAATGGCAAAACAATTGGAATTAAGAATTATATATTATTATATTTGTAATACAGATTTCCATGGAATATACCGGATATTTGACTACTTTCTTCAAAAGCTCCCAACGCTGAAGTGAACCGTGATGCTTTTGGAAGAGTTGTTGAAGCTCATCATGAATTGGTGATGGGTCATTAAGGAACATACTCATTTAGGGCACATCAACAAACAACTTATTTTCTGTATTACCACAATAATATCTAGTTTATATAGAAAGTAATTACTGTTTTCTAAAATGCAAATATTAAACACTAAAAAATAACCCTATAAAAATATAATGGTGAGCTCGGCCAGTGTGGTTCAGTGGTTGAGCATCGACCCATGAACCAGGAGCCTGGGGTTCAATTCCTGGTCAGGGCACATGCCTGGGTTTCAGGCTCGATTCCCAGTGGGGGGCGTATAGGGGACAGCTGGTCAATCACTCTCATCATTGACGTTTCTTTTTCTCTCTCTCCCTTCCTCTCTCTGAAATAAAACATATTTAAAAAAAATATATAGTGATGATATGAAAGAAAGAATGCCAAAATATCTACAGTTTAATGTAAAATCTTGCCCTGGTCTGTACATATTTTGACTAAATGATTCAGCATTCTTTAAATAGCCATTAATTCTAGGACTATCATCTTCCATAAAGAAGAAATTTGTTTATGAAATGGTCTCGTCTTATTGTATTCTAGAGTAGAGATACAAAAATGTAGAAATACAGATGTTTTGTATAAGAAAGATTAAACTTATAAGTATATGAGAAAAAAATTAGAAAATATTAAAAAAAAAAAGAATAAGTATATGAGAATCTGCAGGCAGAATACATGTATAATATCAACACAAGTAGCTCACATAGAAATGGTCTTGGGAAAGGATATTTTCAGGAACAAGAGCTAAAATCTTATCGCAGCTTTCTTTACTTCCAAGAATATCTTGATCAACCAAGGCATATTCTTCAAAGTATTTATTTATTATGTTTATAGATTTTCTGTAGGAATAACAATAACAAAGTCCCAATATTATTAGCAACACATACCCTACATAGCTTTTGTTGCCATTTAGGAAGCTAGTGCTATTTTGACTGCATTTCTAGAAATTAACTAGGTAAAATGGGAATAACATCCCTTCTCAGAGTTATGAGAGTTAAGTCTAAGGGAAAAGAACCTAGCATAGTGCCTGGTTTAGAAGAGACAGTCAAGAAATGTTTACTTCTGAAACTCCATAACTTAGAAGTTTAATAACATCCTAAATACTAGGGTGGGCAAACGTAGGTTTACAATTATAAGTACAAGAAAGAGTTTATTCTTGTAGTATATATTTTTACATATGAACAACTATAAACCTATGTTTGTCGACCCTTGCATATAACAGGGGTAGAAAGCAACCAATTCAGGACAGCATAATAATATATCAGTAGTAGAGTGTGGGATACAGCCTATAGTTTCTACTCTGAATTGCTTGCTTTAACATCTCAGCAATTATATAGTGCTTAGCAATTTGCAAATAGACTTCACATATGTTTCATTTAATCTTTGCCACAACTCTGAGACAGATGTAGCAGATATTGTTCTCTCCATTATAAAGAAATGGAAGCTGTAATATTTTATCAAGGTCATACGAAGTGGTAGAATGCGGACCTTACTCCTAATGCAATGTTCTCCACTGTCCTAGAGAAGTAGCGAATTCAATGGAAAAAGTTTGGGTTTTGGTATCAGGCAGACCAGGACATGAATTCTAAATTTAACAATTACTGCCCGGCCGGGCGTGGCTCAGCAGTTGAGCGTCCACCTACAATCCAGGCGATTGGGGTTCAATTACTGGTCAGGGCACATGCCTGGGTTGTGGGCTCAATCCCCAGTCAGGGGTGTGCAGGAGGCAGCTGATCAATGACTCTCTCATCATTGATGTTTCTATCTCTCTCTCTCTCCCTCTCCTTTCCTCTCTCTGAAGTCAATAAAGATGTATTTTTAAAAAATAACAAAATAAAAATAAATAAATTTAACAATTACTTGTGTGATGCCAAGTAAATTATACAATCCCTGCAAGTCTTACTTTGTTCATCTGTATGTGGAGACACCACCATATCTCTTATGGGGTTGTTGGGAAGATCAATGAGAACATTTGTGAAGCACTATCATGAATACTGTAGCATACAAGAGACACTGAATTAATTAATTCTAGCTATTATTATTGTAAAGTGCTACCCTAGCAGAGAAAATTGACAACAAGGTGTATAGAGCAAGAACAGAGCCGACTTTTTGGATACCTTTGACAATCCAATATGGAGTCATTGTCAGCCATGACAGTTATGTCAAGCGTTGTCAAGACTGAGGTAATGGGAATGCTGTTATGAGGGGCCTGGAATGCCCCAAACCACCAGTCTGGACACTTGGATAAGGACTCCATATGGACACTGATTTTAGTGGGACCTCCACAGCTGGTGAGTTGTAAGAACTCAGAGCTCCAACCACCCAACGCTGGAACTCGGCTGTACCATGGTCACACTCAGAGCCCTGCCGGACTTCTGCTCCCTCAGACGCATGCTGCCACTGTAGCTGCCTGGTTTGAGACCGACAGCTGCCTCTTCACCTGCGGATGCTGCCAGTGACTGGGACTTCCCTGCTGAACTCTCACTCTGCTCGCTTCTGTCAAGTAAGCTTCCCCTCTCTGTGTACCTGCATGGGACTCTACTGGCTTATTGGGGAGGTCTCCTCTAATAAACCTGGCATCATGGAAAGACAAACATGTGTGAGTGACTCCGTTTGGGGATGCTCCCTTGTTCACAACACAATGTAATTCTACAAGCATGTGCAGGTGAAGCAGACACAACTTAAACCGCATGGAGCCTTTTCCAACAGACCTGACAAAAGGGTGAATTTTTTCACTTAGGTGAACTTTCTTTTTAACGTCTTGACCACCCTGAAAAATAAATCATCAAAAAAAACCTTTATGTATACTATATAAAATAAATGAAATAATTAAAATAGTTCTATAATGTGTTCTAAAGATAGTGATTAAATTCTGTCAAAGTATAGCTTACATGCTACTTTATATAGTCTCAATACCTGCAACTTTTTGGCTTAATTGAACCAGTTTACTTAATTGAACCGGAGAGGTAAACTATTAATCTTCATTTTGCCACATAAAAAGGATACTTACAACAAAATATGAAATATCTTTAAAAAATACAGCTATGGCCCTAGCCGGCTTTGCTCAGTGGTTAGAGTGTAGGCCCATCGACTGGAGGTTCGATTCCAGTTGGGGACATGGGCCTTGGTTGCAGGCTCAACCCCCAGCCCCAGATGAGACACATGTTGGAGAAGGCCAGTCAATGTGTCTCCCTCACATTGATGTTTCTCTCTCCCCCCTCCCTTTCTTTCCATTTTCTCTACAAAAAAAAAAAATCAATGGAAGGATATCCTCAGGTGAGGATTAACAATAAATATATATATCTACTATGACTTTAATCAATTAAATGGTAAGATCACCTACTCTGGAAAGTGGATGCAATAAAAGATAGTTTAATTTTGTTACTAAACATACCAAGCTTGGTAACATCCAGCAAAAAAATAAAATGTAAATTATCATTAAGAAGATCTTACCTTTACAAGACTCAAATACTCAACTATCCCAGACCGTACTGCAGAGGACAATTTTCTAACTGACTCATCACAGACCCAACAATGAACACCTCTTCTTCCAGAATATACCCAGAGGCGATGCTTAAATCCAAAGTCCTCTGAGGAGGGGAGACATAATAGGTTTTAAAACAAGTCTATAAATTCCTGATTCTTGCTTACTTCCTTAGCTTCATATTTTACCTCTTATCCACAAATACCCGTTTCCCGTGCTGCCCCCCGCCCCCCCGCTCATGCTCTTGCCTTCATGACTTTATCTATCCTGGTCTCTCTGCCAAGACTTTCCTCCTGCTGCCCCAGTCTAGGGATATTAAAGGTGTTAATGGATTTAAAGTGCTTAAAATAGTACCTGGCGCATAATAAGCCCCTATATAAGATCAACTATTTTATTATCATTCTTATCATCCCCTCTTTTGGGAAGCCTTTTCTGATCTAATCTCTTCCCATTCCTGTATGCACTCTTGCTGTTCTATATTCCCACAGCACCCTGTCCATACTACTTAACACAAATGCAATCCGTAATATTCTTATTTGTCTCCTTCTCAGCCTGCATAACCTACTTGAGGTAAGAATTGTTCTCTTTCATATTTCCTTCATCTAGGACAGTACCTAGCACAAAGAGTTGCTCAACAGATGACTGAACTGGGAAAAAACTCCTGGTTTGATCATAGCTTTATTAGAGTTTCAACTATAACTTTATTGTAATCTTTTATTTTCCTATTATATGTTTTAAGGAAACATGTTAGAAATTTATGAGATTTGATTATAATATGGTGTAGATAGACTAATATTCAGAGGAAAACAGATTTTTGAATTTAACCCCACTCAGACACTGCCAATACTTGCCCTTCAATGCTCGGTCGATGATGCGTATGGCCATTGTCATGAGAGTCCAGCACTTAGAACATATGTCTGCAGAACTGAAGTAGAGTCATCATTACTCAACTGTCAATGATATCACCCACTCTACCAATAAGGCACACGGTGCTTACCTACAACATCTCCTCACATCATCATAGTCTGTCATGTCAATGTCAAACACCAGTTCTTTTTCTTGAGCCTGGAAAGCTCCCAGCTTCACTGTATTATGTTGATTGGGCTACAAGTACAAAATATCAATCAGTTTCTATAAGAGCTGCCATGCTGCCAAATATGCTTATTTTCTACCCACACAGAAAATGTGGCCAAAGAACAGTGAAGAAACCATATAATGTCAAGTTGATGTCAGTTCATTAATTCAGATCCTATACATCCAGAACTGATGACAGTGTAGCTTTCATCTACTTAAAACAGGGTTTGGTAAATACACATTATCAATTTTTTCCTCTAGTTCTACTGAAATATAACTGACATATAACACTGTATAATAAATATTTGTTGATCAATAGAAAACATACAAAGCTTTTTTAGATTTCTGATAAGGAAAAGTACATGTAGTTAATTAATGCCCTATTGCAAGGTATTCTTAAGAAACTTTATTTGCTGCTGGAGACATATGGGTGACAAAGGGTATCCCTGAAATGAGTGTGTGTGTGGTGGTTAATCTGAGATTAAAAATAGAAGGATTGGTTAAAAATCTATTTGTGAAGCAGTTGGTTTCCCAGATTCCTACCCTTCCTCTGCAGAGCTAGGTGACTAGCTTCCATTTCCCTGGCAAAGACACCTAAATTATTATCTGGAGATCATAAAACAGAGGGTCTCTGGCCTCGGGGGGCGGGGGGCAATAGGCACAGTTGAATTATACTGATATTTAGGGGATTAACTAGACAATTACATGTAGAATATGAAGATCCAGCTCTCTCCCCTCACTTATTTCTTTTTACAATTATATGCATAGTATGACTTGTTTTTGTGGGGATAAAGTATGTATATCTTTGTGCATATAATGTATATGTATTATAATCTTTAGTAACTTTTTAAAAGACTAAAATTTTTGAAAAGAGTATTTTTTCTTGAGATTTAAAAACATTGAATTTATTGGGGTGACATTGGTTAACAAATTATATAGGTTTCAGGTGTACAATTCTATAATACATCATCTGTATACTGTATTGTACGTTCACCACCTCAAGTCAAGTCTCCTTCCATCATCTCCCCTCACTTCTATACCTTTCCACTGCCACCCCAGGTAGGGGACAAGATGATTCCTCACTGAAGAATGTGAACAGGTGTGTCAAGCACTAGTATAGGCCCTAGGAATAGATCGGTGATCAAAACAAAGATCTCTGCACTCTCAGGTTTGATTCCTGGTCAAGGGCACATACCTCGGTTGCAGGTTTGATTTCTGGCCCTGGTCGGAGTGTGTGTGGGAGGCAACCAATTGACGTTTTATTCTAGCAAAGATCTAGAAAAACTGACATCAGAGCTTCCTCCCAATAAAATGGCCCAGCCCATCCACCCTGTAGTAAAGAAACCTCAATTTTTTGTACAGAGCTTCTAATCAGCTTTTAGTACTCTATTCTTAAATATAAGCCACAGGCAAGAAATTAACAAACAGATGAGGAAATACTCTAATGAAGGGGGGAGGGACAGAAAAAAAAGCAACCTAGAGAAAATGGATTGTGCAACAGAAGAAAACTTAAAAAACTATCATTGATATCCTCAGAGAGATAAGACATATTAATGAAAAAAGCACAGGATGCTCTAAAAAAGTTCCTGGAAATTAAAATATAATAGTGGAAATGAAAACCTCTGAGGAAATTTCCCAGACAGAAATAGAAAATAGGAGAAAAAAGAACCAGAATTGGAAGACCAGTTCAAGACACAATAGAAAAATGAGGTATTTCCCCACTTCCATGTTAGGGACAAGGAGTAGTGCTACCCTGGCTCTTCTAAAAAGACATTTGTCCGGCTGGTGTGGCATAGTGGATGAGCATCAACCCATGAACCTGGAGGTCACAGTTCAATCCCCAATCAGGGCACATGCCAGGGTTTCAGGCTTGATCCCCAGTAGGAAGTGTGCAGGAAGCAGCCAATCAATGATTCTTTCTTATCATTGATGTTTCTATCTCTCTCTCCTTTTCCCCTCCTCTTTCTGAAATTAATAAAAAAATATTTTAAAAAAATTAAAAACATGCCCGGCCAGGCATGGCTCAGTGGTTGAACATCGACCTAGGATCCAGGCGATCGGGGTTCGATTCCCGGTCAGGGCACATGCCCGGGTTGCGGGCTCGATCAATGACTCTCTCATCATTGATGTTTCTATCTCTCTCTCTCCCTCTCCTTTCCTCTCTTTGAAATCAATAAAGATATATTAAAAAAAAAAAAAAATTAAAAACATTAATCTCCACCTCTAAAGAGGAGTATACTGCACCAAGCATTTTTCCTGCCTGCCTTTTCTTACCCCGTTAGCTCTCTGTCTCTCCTTCCCCTGGGATTTAAAGTCAGAAAGCCTGGGTTCAGATCCCAGCTCTATCATTTAGAAACTGTGTGACCTAGGGATAAATTATTTAAGTTCTCCAGGCTGTTTTCTAGTTTGTAAAAAGAACAGCGAGAATTGATATGAAAAACAAATTATACAATATAAGAAAAAGCTCCATACAAAACCTACTATCCCATGTGTGTATTCCCCCTCCTGCCCCAAATGTGTGCATTTTTAAGGAGAAGGGCAATTTTCGTATGTTCATTTACTGAACGAATATGTATGGTGTACTTTCTCTACCAGGCATTATTCCAGGTACTAGAATATAGCAGTAGCAGGGGGATAGGAGAGATGGCAGGTTGCCGTAGGCCTTACTGAGTAAGGATTGAAGGAAGTGAGGAAATGATCCAAAATATCTGGGGAAATGGGTTCTAGGCAGTGAAACTGCTTGAGTAAGGGTAGTGTGGCAGGGGTGGGGTAAGGGCGAGAGAGGGGCTTTTACTCTGAGTGAAATGGGTAGCCCCTAGAGAATGGTTTTGAACAGAGAAATCACAGGATCTGACTTGTCTCTGTGTTTTTTTTTTAATCCTCACCTGAGGATATTTTTTCCATTGCTTTTCAGAGAGTGGAAGGGATAGAGGGAGGAGGAGAGAGAGAGAGAGAAATATCGATGTGAGACACACAGATAGGTTGCCTCACGAATGCGCCCCAACTGGGGCTGGGGATCGAGCCCGCAACCAAGGTACGTGCCCTTGGTCGGACTTGAACCTGGGACCCTTCAGCCCACAGACCAATGCTCTAACCACTGAGCCAAACAGACTAGGGCCTGACTTGTTTTAAAAGGATCATTCTCAATGCTATATTGAGACTAGACTCTAGAGTCTACAGGAGTAAATTGTTAGGAAGTTTTCACAGTCATTTGGATGAAAAATGATGATGATGGTAGTAGCACTGGTAGCACTAGTTGAATTTTAGATATTATTATGGTAGAGGTTTCCTAATAGAACGCATGTAGGAGTGTGAGAGGAATGAAGACCAGCAATTGCATTGCTGGGAGATAATGCAATTCTCTTTTAATTCCCTTCCTTAAACTAGGCTGATTTCCTCATTTTGTCTTTCAGCCAGATACTCAATTTTTTGTTCTAGTGAGAATATAAACAATTCACTCACAAATGATTTCTAGTCAGTAATGGCAGACTATCAAAGAACAAAAAAAACATTGCAATCAACTTGCCAAAACAGTTAAATAAAGTGTTGCTCTTCAACTAGAATAAACTATAAAAACATTATCTCAGAATGCTAGGGGTTCTTGGTGTAAAAAACAAACCAACGAAATACATAAAAAACCGAATTCCTTACTCTGTGGGAATAGACCGCGCCTATATCAATTTTGTACGGATTCATTTTCTGCATCTCCTTTTCCAGATCACTCTGGTTGTTGAAGGATTGGTAGCGAATATAGATATCATCTTTCAGTGTGAATGAAAATTCACGGTGTTGAAAGTAATTCTTTATCACTGTAAATAAATGTACATTTTAAAGTTAATTTAGTACTTTATTCAACTCAGGGACTTATAACATTAACCAATTAGAAGGTATTTTTAATAAACCCTTTGTGCCCATGTAAAAAAGAAAAAAACAAGACCTAACTCCTAATTTGAAGGGGATTATTACCACACAGCATCTCATAGGGAAAAGTAAAAATGAGAAAAAGGATGCTTAAGTATTTTAAATCTATAACGCTACTTCTCTCTCGTCAGTGGGTAAATTCAGCTGCGACCAAGCTAAGTACCTCTCCTCTTGGGGAGATGCCCCTCTGTCCCTGATGTAGATCATGCCTCCGCAGCTTCATACTATACAACCCAAGAAGCCCTTGGCTCAGGCACCGCGGCAGGTAAGCCGGGCACCGACTGTGCGTGGGCCACTTAGTGGCAAGAGCAGGGGGTCTGCCTTTTATTGTGTGCCCGCAGGCTGGCCTTTAAATCCTCTCTCTGCCCATTTACATTTCAGAGGTGGTGGTGGGGAGGGCTCGAGATAAGGCGTGGAGGCGCCGGGCCCAACACTGGAGCGCAAGAGTCACTTAAAATGGTCATGCAAAAGTTCCCTCCCGGAGCCCCTTCACATTCTCCTCCCGACCTAGCCGCTCCCCGCTCCCCACCGCCCGCCGCTCGCCGCCATCACCTCCGCCATAGTTGAGCCAGCGATAGTACTGGGCGTAGGGAAAGAGCCTCCGGTAATAAAGCTTAAGCAGCTCGGGAAGCTCGGCTGGGTTAAACGCCTCCATGGAGCCCGGGATGCTCGGCTGGGTCAAACGGCGGGATTGCCCCAGTAGGCTTCCGCAAGAATTGGCGGGAACCGCACAGGAGCCTCAGCCATTGCGCAGGCGCATCGTGGCCGCAGCCCGCCGGCTGCAGGGGTCGCTGGGAATTGTAGTTGCCACTTGGGGGGAGGGGTTTGCTTGGGAGTGGGAGGCGCTCCCGCTGTCTCCGCCCACCCGCTCGGACAGAGAGTCCTCTACTCAGGTGGGCAGAAAAAGGCCGCGCCCATTCCAGGAAGATAGCCTGCGGAAAGGTAAGTCAGGCACATTGACTTAGATGATAAAAAGGAAGTAAGAAAGATGTTCGGTAGTTTATGAATATTATAGAAAATAACACATTTAAACAGTGTAAACCAATATCTTTTTAAGAGGGTTTGGAAATTAGTTCCTCATTGAATTACTACGTACAACGGGTGGAAATATTTCGCAACCAAATGCGAAAAGCAAAGGCTGTTTATTCAGAGCTTGCTATATGGCTAGGGAGTCAGCCACCGTCCCTCGCTTTTTGGCAGAGACTCAAAGGCACGCAGAGAAGCGGGAGAACTTTATGGAGGAAAAAGAAGGTTTCAGGTGTACCTTGATTCAAAGCCGTTTGCATGGGGAAGCTGTAGGTGGGCTAACTAGGAGTGGGGCATCCTATGTGATTTGGTTGGGGGTGCCTATTGGCTTTTTCTGGTTGGTCCTAAGTTAGAAGTGGGGAGAAAAATTAGGGAAGCTGCCAGTTATTAATCATTAGCCATTTTGGGCCAGTTGTTGCGGAGGTTATTGTTTGGCTTCCTAGACTATCACTAGAGACAGGGGTCTGATTTATAGCAGGCTGGCTTCCTGGGCTATTTATTATAGATAAGGGGGTTGGTTTCCTGGGTAGACTTCTGCAGGTTGTGGGTCAGAGTTCTGTTTTTGTATACTGTCTGGTTATTTAGTTTGTATATTTGGTTTCTCAAATAGAACACCTAGGAATACTAAAACCTGAATCAGAGGAAGCTTGCAGAGTCATGAAAGAAGCCAGTATGCTATTGATATGCAGATCTATCAGTCAGTCTTACCTGGTAAAGATATACCTCATGGCAAATGTTTACTGTGGATGGGCAGTCTGATAGTAATCAGTATTGTGTTACTTTAAAACCATCATTTTCATGAATTTTATTTTTACAATAATAGTAGGAGACCAAGGAGGGTTATGTAGTAAGTTATTATTAGCCTAATCTTGAAAATGATTATGGTCCCTCAGCTCCTGTGGGCAGTGTGGGGAAAAATAGGCTATGGGAAAATCATACTTGAATATTCCTAGAAATCTGGCTTCCCACACAAATCTTAGTTGATTTTCACAATCCCTATGCATTCTGTTTTGGGTAGGGTGAATTTCATTGCTGGGAAGTTTTTCACTATGATAAAAGGGACAAGAGTGCCCTCCCTGTAGAGTGCTTTTTACCAGAACTACCTTCCCCTGGACTTTTTAATGGAGGTTTCTCAGTTTCCTTATTGCTGCCTTTAGGAACTGACTTCTTCGGGCAATTTGGGAGTTCACTATTTACATTTCGGGAACACTAAGGAGTGCAACACCTTAAGAAGCTAAGACATAAGGGGAGAAAACAAAGGAAGTTATATTTATTGAGTTTTTACTGTATGCTCCCTTTATTCAACATTAGTTCTCATCAGGAAAAGGAAAAATAAAGCCTAACATTTATATAGCATTTGTTATGCTGTTAAGTGACATTTTAAGAATTTAAGAATTTATTCCTCATAAGAACCCTATGTGGTATGGACAAATATTTGTATTTTACAGATGGGGAAATATGCAGAGAGCTTAAGTAATTTGTCCAAGGTCACACAGCTAGTAAGTGGGAGTCAGACAGCCTGACTCCAGAGTCTGTGTGTTTAAACCTTAAGCTATATGCTATGTCTCCTCTACAAGGGGTTGTTGTGAGGTTTAAATGGGATAAAGGTGCCTGGCACAGCTCATAGTCCAGAACTATTCTGTGTGAGAAAGCTATTATTCTGTAAAAGTGCTCTGGTATAGAGGCTTTTATCCCAAGTGCCACTGAGAGGCAGTATTGCCATTTACTTGGTTTCCCTTTGTGCTTCTTTCACAGGTTTGCAAAACCCCTTTGTCCTTTTAGCCTTACACTTTCTACCATCCTCTTTATGTTTACTACTTATGTCTGCTATCATCCTCTTTAGGTAATCTATCAGCCATAGGTTTCTCTTCCCAAGTTCTTTGTAGACTTGGACACCCACCTCATGGACTTCCCTTCCAGTTCAACTCCTATTGTTAATCTGGATGTTTTTAGCATGTAAAAGGATGATCTCTTCTCTAAATATATGGTTCATTCAGCCATTCTTTATTTTTTATTTTTATTATTGGTTTTTTAGAGAGAGAGGAGGGAGAGAGGAAGGGGGAGGAAATATTGATTTGTTGTTCCACTTAGTTATGCATTCATTGGTTGCTTCTTGTATGTACCCTGACCCATAGCCTTGCATATCGGGACAATACTCTAACCGACTGAGCTATGTGGCCAGGGCCATTCAGCCATTCTTTAACTCAAACATTTATTCTATTTATTTCTGGGGAGAGAAAAATTAATGGCATGATTTCTGCTTCCAAGGAAGTTATAGTCTAGTAGGGGTAATAGACACAAATAAAAAAGTGTAATGAACTGTTATAGATTCATTAATAACCCAACGTTTGTTGGCATCAGCATTTTCCTTAAGACTTGGATAAAATTGGTACAGGGAACACAGTCACAAAAGTGTAAATGGCATGGCACTTTTGGGAAACTGCCAATAGTTTCATAAGGATGGAGTTCAGACTTCAAGGGAAGGCATAGTGAGAGATGGGGCTAAGAGGCAACTCATGGCCAGAGCATTTCATGTCAAGCTTTTCATTTCCAAGAAGTATGGAAATAAAAATTATTCACCTTTCATTTTTATTCAGGTTTGGTTAAAATTAAAATGAACTATTGATCATATTAATATTTGATGAAAAGCCTTGGGAATAAATAATCTTGTTGAAACAAGTAAATTGAAAATTTGCAGTACTCCTGTGCTAGTTATTTTCCTCCTCAATAAGATAAGAAAGAGAAGCCTGCATAGAGTTTAAAATGAAAGAGAATAAGTTCTGTTGACACAAGAGCATAATAAACAGGGAGGCTATCTAGGTGGGCCCATGGCATACTTAAGTTTAACTATATTAGGTTCTGTCTCTTGTTATCATAAATTACTGAAAAGTAATAAAGAGCACCATCATATCTGTTTATGTCAAAGTTTTAGTTTGATCTCATAGGAATGTTTCTTTTAACTACAAAGCAAATGATCACCAGAAAGCTGATAAAACATGTACTATAGTACACTGCAATTGTTCTTCAATCTATATAATGAATTTGATATATGAAACTAAATTTTTTTCACCTAAGCTGTCAATTAACCCACCAGATTTTTGCTACGTAACCCACCAATGTATATATTGTATAGGTTCTCTTGTTAGTCGTAAAGTGACATACTTTTTGGGTCTAACTTTCTTCTTGAGACTACTTGAAATAAAGGATGGCAGATTCTCCCTGGCCAGTGTGGTTCTGTTGATTGGAGTGTCCTCCCTTACACCAAAAGGTTTTGGGTTTCATTCCTGGTCAGGGCACATACTCGGGTTTTGGGTTTGATCCCCAGTCCCAGTTTCTCTCACATTGATGTTTCTCTCTTCGCCCCACCCCCGCTCGCTCTCTCCCCATTCCTCTCTCTAAAAATAAAAAATAAAAAAATGGAGTCAGGAGGTTAGAAGAGAGAACTATTAACACACCTTGTAGATAGCATTTTTTGTTCTTCTCTGTTCTCTTTCATCACTTTGATTTTCTATTTCTTTTTGTACTTCTATTTGCATTTTAATAACCTTATTGTATATGTGTCTTTTACTTTAGGTTACCTCACACTCTTTTTGAAGATGCTATATATGTCCAAGAATAAAAAATTAACATAATCCAATTTCAGCCTCATTCCAAAAGCTGACTCAATCCCTCTGCCAAGTGGGGGGAAAAATTGGCAAATATACCTGCAGCTAATGCTTTGTACTGGCATTGTTTTTACTATCACACACTTCATTTCATACTGGTACATAAAATTGCACAAAGAGAAAGGAAAAATGTTACCTGAGGAATTCTTATTTGGAAACAGATGTTAGATTTCAAACACTTCTTGTTTAACTGCCTTTGGATTTTACTTCCTCTCTGTTCTCTACAGGATTCGAAATGTAACAAGTGGGAAAGAATAACGGGACTATTAAACCATTGTTTATTAGCCACCTGGGTGGCTAATAAAAACTTCTTCACTACTCCCATAGCAAAGTCCTCCTTCACAGTGGATGATAGGGGTGGGGCTAGGGCAGGATCTAAACTAGACTGCAGAGCTTCACGAACACAACTCTCATGACTTAATTTAAAAAGTCCCCTTTTGCTTACCCAAAGTTTTACAAACTTATCCCACAGCTACCAGTGATGCAGGCATTCTGGGGGTCTGGGGACCTGAAGGTGTGTGACCCACTATGGGTTCTCGTCTTCTTAAAGAATTCAAAAGCAAGCCTGCATAGAGTTTAAAGTGAAAGAGAGTTTATTAGTGAAGGAGTGAAACAGAGAATGGGCTATTCCACAGACAGAGCAGCCCATCCCTTGTAGGATTTGCTTTTTTTATTGAGACTCATTTAATTGAGGGATAGGAAATTCTATAAGGAGGAGGAATATTCAGGATTTTTCCAGGAAAGGAGTAGAGACTTCTCAGAAGAGCCCTATGGGCCATTTTGTGTCCTAATATGTGCTTTCCATTTCTGATTATGAGACTGGGATGTGTCATTTAGAATGCTAATGTGTTACAATGAGCATATAATGAGGTTAGGGGTCACTAGAAGGTGAAATTAGTCCCCTGTTGGATAGAGCTGGTCTGTGCCAGTTCTAAGCCATAAATCTGTTAGAGGTTGGTCTTACTATCTCCTTGACAGTCCCTGTAGCCCTTATTGGTAACTGTCATTTCACTACATACCCTATCTCACCAGCAT